GTTGGCTCCTATAGTAAAAAATATGCAACCCACAAAAAGGCCTTCAACCAAAATCATACAACATTAAACACATTGAAACGTGCTGATACAACCAAGATATGTATTTTTTTCTTAATAAGAGAGTAAATAGGACTTTATTCTCAGGAAAAAAATAAAGCTGCTATTGTGGGTCATTAGGCAGAAAACGTTATTTCCTGGGAAAAGTACAATTCTTCACGGTTGGTATTTTGCGTTAGGACCTTTGAAATAAAGCAAACAAGTCTAGCAGGGAGTGGGAATATGTTTTCTTAGTTTGAGCTGGGTTTTAGTTCTAACTTAGATTACCTGTGGGACTGTTTAATTACCTAGGAACATGTTATTGTTTTCAGTGTCCCATTTTTATTTTTATTTTTTTGAGCTGGAGTCTCACTCTGTCGCCAGGCAGAAGTATAGTGGCACAATCACAGCTCACCACAACCTCAAACTCCCAGGCTCAAGCAATCCTCCTGCTTCAGCCTCCCGAGTAGCTGGGACTATAGGCATGCACCACCACCTAGCTATTTTTGTTCGTTGTTGTTGTTGTTGGTTGAAATGAGATTTCAAATGTTGCCTAGGCTGACCTCAAACTCCTGGTCTCAAGCAATCTTCCCACTTCGGCCTCTCAAATTGCCGGGACTGCAGGCATGAACCTCCTAACCCGGCCTTCAGTGTCCTATTTTTTCATTTCATTTCTATTCTTAATCATATCAACACATTTATTTTAGAGATTCTTTCAGGTGGCTCTTTAGCTCAGGTTTTGGTGTGCTACTGCTTTGGTTCATTGTTTGCAGACTCGTCCTTGTCATTTCACTGTGAGCTGAGACTATTTTATAGGCAGGGATGAAAGCATCTGGTTCCAAGTAGCAGTAATAGGAATGGTCCGGCTCCCCGGCTGCATTTCCTGCTTACACCCCTCTGCTTTGAGGTGCAGAGGATGGAGGACCTGTGGTCAGTTTCGTCTCCATGTCCCCACTTCACCCTCTCCTTCCTCATCTCGTGGCTCCACTGGGGTCTCAGTGAGGTGGCGGCAGGAAAGGTCTCACTTGTCTGAGACGGAAGGACACTGGGCATAGGCGTTTGAGCCACCTTTCCAGTGAGCCCCTTCCACGGATGCTTTGGAGACCCATCCCTGGTCATCATCATCCCTCGAGAGCCATCTCCACCCGCTGCTGTTTGACTCCGCCTCAGACTCTGGTTTCTGTGGGATCAGCCCACCCTGACTGCTGTGAGAATCCCATCCAGGCGAGGCTTACAGCCAAGTGTCTCTTGAGAGAGCTGCAGGCTGTCTTGATCCTGGTCTACTGGAGACACGTCCACAAGCCTTGAGAGAGAAGGCCATCTCCCACACTCTGCCATCAGCATAGCCGGCTAGCCAGCGTCTCTTGAGACTTTCCCATGAACTTGCCTCACCCCCTGTGCCACACAGACTACATTCCAGAACAGTCTCAGCGGGGCACCCTCTCCTCTCCTCCACTGGGTGGGCCGATGATGGTGGGAGAAATTCCTGGAACTGTTTTGGGAGCACATCTACTTTGACTCTTTATATATATAAAGACCTTCTGAGGAGGGGCTAAGCTCTCCAAAAATGACTTTCCAGACACCTTTCTTGCAAATGCTGGGAAAGAAAAAAATGTGTAAACCAACCACAGTATTTATGTTTGATACAATTTGTTTATAAATCTTAAGTAAATTCTATTCTTTCATCTCTCGAGTTAACAGGCTTTTCCTCCAAAACACAATTCAGTTTAAATGCAGAACGCTTGAAGAAGCTGAGGAACATGAGAAAAAATACTGACAATCTTAAGATTTGGCCACACTTGGGGTGTGATAGGAGATGCCTCACCACTGAGGCCTTAGAGTGAGCAAAACTCACCTCCTCTAAAGGTTAAGACGTGAGGAAGCTCTCTGGGTGCAGTGGCTCACACCTGTAATCCCAGCATTTTGGGAGGCCGAGGAGAGAGGATTGCTTGAGTCCAGGAATTCGAGACCAGCCTAGGCAATATAGCAAGACCTTGTCTCCACAAATAAAGTAAATAAAATAAAAAATCAGCCAGGCATGGGAACACACACCTTTACTCCAAGTTTCTAGTGAGGCTGAGGCAGGAGGATCATTTGAGTTCAGGAGGTTGAGACTGCAGTAGGCTGTGATTGTGTCATTGCACTTTACTCTGGGTGACAGAATGAGACCCTGACTCAAAAAAAAAAAAAAAAAAAAGAGGAAGCTAAGACAAGCTGAACTCTGGTTTGTCTGGCATGACATAAAATCCTTCAGGCCCCACGAGGGTAAAGCATTAGCACGTGGTACCTTTATTTCAGAGGCTGGTTCACAATTCTTCCTTCCAGTTCTGTCCTGCCCCTAACAGATCTCCAGTTCTTGCTTCTCCTTCCCCAGAGACGAAGCTAGAACAATCTTAAGATGTAAAAAGCGGGGTAGCAACCTTTCAGTCTGACAGTTTTGTATGTTGTTTCTTGTCATTTAAACAAATCTGATGACTCCTTCTCGTATTTCCTCTGCCAATCTTATTTTTACCATTCAAGCAAACCTTTTGAGTAATTCTTGACTCACTGTACTTTTTTGTTTGCTAACTTTTTTTGACACAGGTCTCACTCTGCAGCCCAGGCCGGAGTGCAGTCGTGCAATCCCAGCTCACTGCAACCTCAGCCTCCTAGACTCAGGCGATCTTTGCGCCTCAGCCTCCTGAGTAGTTAGGACTACAGGTATGCATGCCCTTCTACACACAGCTAATTTTTAATTATTGTGTAGAGATGGAGTCTCACTATGTTGTCCAGACTGGCCTCAAACTCCTTGCCTCAAGTGATCCTCCTGCTTTGGCCTCCCAGTGTTGGGATTATAGGTATGAGTCATCGTATCTGGACTTCCATTTTGTTCATTTCTTCCTGTGAACTCTGGTGCCCAGACCTGGATTAATCACAATCCTTGTGTCATCTCTGTTCCTTGCATGGACCCTTTCTCCTCTAATGAGTATTTGTGACTCATTACGTCCCTCCAAAGAGACTAACATTCCTGATAACTTATACTGACCTGTCCTACTGCCCTAGCCTGTCTGTCCCTTCTTCTCTACAGGTGACATCCATCCTAAATTTTGTAGTTGACCTTGATTTCCTTGGTAGAAAAGTTTTTCTTATGCATATGCCTGATCAAAAGATTTGTTCATTTTAAAAAATTTTATAAGAATCATACCATTAGCCGGGCTCGGTGGCTCAGCCTGTAATCCCACGCTTCGGGAGGCTGAGGTGAGTGGATTGCCTGAGACTGCGGGTTCGAGACCCGCCTGGGCAATTGGTGAGACCTCATCTCTACAATAAATCAAAAAATTAGCCGGGCGTGGTAGCACGCGCCTGTAGTTCCAGCTACTTGGAAGGCTGAGGTGGAAGGATCGCCGGAGCCCAGCAGGTCGAGGCTGCAGTGGCACTGCACTCGTCTGGGCAACAGAGTGAGACTCCAACTAAAAAAAAAAATTATAGTTTATAGTCACCTGGGGCTGTTTTTTCTAAACTCAACGTTGTTATTAAAATTCAACTGTGACTAGGCTATAATTGTTAGATTATGTCATTGGGTAAACTTAATTTATTGACCCATCCTCCTTTCAGTGGACATTTGGATGATAACCAGTTTATGCTAATTTGAACAGTGCAGCTGCAAATATTCCTCTGTGATTACCTGTGCACATGTTCAGGAATTCTAGGAAATAAACCCGAGAAGGAATTGCTGGGTTGCAGGGATGTAATGTAGGGGTGTGAATAATCCCAAATTGCTTTCAAGAGATGTACCAATGTAATCTCCCACCAGCAACACGCAGCTGTCCACACCACTTCCACAGCCAGACTTGAAGTGATACTAATCCAGTGGTGGTAAAATGGTGACATCTTATTGTGGTTTTGGCTTGCCTTGCCCTGGTTAATTAACTCTTCATGCATTTATTGGCCACATTTCCTTCTCTTTGAAAATGCCTGTTCGAAATCTTTGCCTATTTTCTACTTGGGTAGTTTCACCTTTTATTTGTAGCTCCTTATATACTTGTATCAATCTCTTGTTGGCTAAAATGCATGCCTTGTCTCAGTTGTTTGGCTTTTCAATTGCAGGTGTCAATTTTCATGTAGTTGAATTTATATTGGTTTAGCTTATATATCTTTCCCTTTTCTAGCTAGTGTTGTGTTCATTTGAGGAGTCCTTACACTTCACCGTTTTATTCACCCAAGTTTGCTCCCTTACCTGTTGTAGACTTTGATGTAAAGACTGGGGTGATAAAACAAATGGCATTCATTAAAAAGGCACAATATCATATACATGTGTAACTTTTTTCCTCAACCTAGTAAAAATTTTAAAGAGCATCTGCTCCCAAAGTAAACCAAGTTCCTCCTTAATCTATTTTGGGAAATAACCACTGAGCAAATTAACAAGCTTCTTACAGATGACTCCTTTTGTTTAACAAATAACCTTTTTTTGCTGGGTGTGGTGGCCAGTGCTTGTAATCCTAGCTACTTGGATCACTTCGATCCAGTTCAAGATCAGTCTGGGCAACATAGCACGACATTTTTTCCTCAAAATAGTCTTGCACTCTCTTTTTCCCATTTCATGTGTACTCATCCTACAGACATCAGCTGTGGGGACAGCGTGCATCACAAATACCCATGAGAATATTGGCTAAGAAAATGTACACTCCTGATCTCCAAGCTAAAAAATCACAATGCTTGAAACTGAGGGCAGGGGCTAAACACTGAAGCAATTTTCCCTCAGGTGATTCTAAACATAGCTGACTTGTGTATACTCTCACACAGCCCTCTTGTGAGTACAGTACCTGGGAGTCTCCTCAACTCCTCCCTTCTTAGGTGCTATAAGCTCTACCTGGATCCCATCCTCCAAGTCTTGACTCCAATTCCAAGTTGGTTGGCCCAAGCTAGTGTCCTGTTGCTAGAAAATGAAGCACCAGAGGAAAGTGACAAGACTTTAAACTCTGGAATTGGAAATTAATACTAGCAAGACTTTATTAGACCAGTTTTGGCTTTCATGAAATACTCAAATACAATCAAATATTGAAGTTGGACTGGTAACCGTGCTTAAACATATTTGCATTCCGGATCCTTCTGTCATGGCTGTACATCATCTTATGATCTATCTTCAGGTCTCTCGACTTAGAGGAGCTAGAATTAACCAGAATGTGACTGCTATAAGCCACATAAAAGTATTTTATTAATGTAGTTTCCCATTTAAAAAGATCAAAGTCTAGCAATCACCTGAGTGTCCAGTCTCAGCCAGCACTTTAAAGGTTGTGTATTATTTCAAATCTACCATTGCAATTTCTTGTGTTGAGACAAAACACAGAAAAGCCACTTATTTCCTGACCTTTCCTTATGGGAATGTGCAAGACCCCCTCTGAACACATAGCACCAGGTTGCCTCTAACACACTGTAGGCCCTCATGCAGTGATTATGATGCACCTACATCCAAACTGCTTTTCCCCTGTGGAAATTATATACATTATTTAAATGCTGCCATCACTGCTTAAATCTCCAAAGTCCTTGGGCCTGCATCCAGACTCTACACAAAGATTTTAAAACATCTCACTGTTGACAGTTCCCAAAGTCAAAGTTGCACTCTTGTTTCCTCCAAGTTGAGGTCTGGCCAGATAATCTAAGATTGCAGTTCCCAAAATGGCTGTGACTAGTTTTAAAACACACGTTGGGCCATGGCAGGACTGGTGACTATTTTGTAGAGAAAACAGGACAAATTGAGTCCCCAAAATTAAACCATTTGAATTCTCCTGATTCTTATCCCTCCCCCCATGATTTCCACAGCATGAAGAAGCTGGCATTGGAAGAGCAAGTCCACACCAGGCACACTGTGGCTCCACTTGCCCAAGGACAACTCTAATGTGGCCGGTTTTTCAAAAACAATTCCAATACTCAACACCCAAAGTACATCACTGGATTTCCCAGTTTCCTGGCATTATCGTGTTAAATTGCCAGAAACAGACATGAAGTCTGGACTTAGGACCATCAAGGAAATTGTTATAAACAGGTTTACTATTCAGATACCAAAGCAAAAAAATCTCAGGTGGAAAATCTTCTTTTGGGAACTACTGTGTAGAAAACATTAAATAGCTAGCATCAGTGAAATACTACTATTTCAGAACCAAATTAGTTTAGATGATGGATGTACATTAAATAGCAAATAAGCATACATGACACATTTCAGGTCTTATTTGCTCAAATGAGACCCATCTCTTCAGTGTAGCTGACTCAGTCTTCTTAGCTATACAGAAGACATCACCTCCGTGGCCTGGGGGTCAGTAGAGATCAACAGTGAAGGTGAAGAGCTGAGGGAAGATGACCACATTGCCCCAGGTGTCTCAGATCTTTTCTCCTGGAAATAAAGATCCCAAGGCCTCCATTGCACTTTTATTTGAATGTAATATCTGGGACAATTATCCAAAAGGGCCAATATTTCCCAATTTAATCTGAGGTCATAACAAGCAACAAAACAGTGTTTGGGATTTCAGCTTCTCATCCTCGTCACCAAGCCTCGCTGCCTCCCGGCATCAGGATTTATTGAGCATTTTACAGTGTCTAGGCACAAGAGAACACACAGAAGACGGCGGCCCTGCTCTGGAGGAGCTTACATTCTAAAGGGAAAAATACACCTTTTACAATGGCATTTTGTTTGGTGTTTTCTGCAAAGTACTGAGGAAATATTCTGTAGAGTGAGCTTTGGGTATAACTTAGCCCCGTCATTATTTGGAGAAGAGAGGAAGAGAAAGAGGAAGGATTTTAAAGGCAGACAATGACAGACCATTTGGGGAAGGTAGGGTTTCAAGGGAGATAAACACAATCTCGTCCACTAAGGTAGAGATTAGCTGCAGGAAAGAGGATGAGGAACCGCCTGTGGGATGCAAGCCAGGGAGAAGGGATCCTAGACAAGGAGTGGAGCCGGGAAGATCATGCGGCCTTTCCCCAAGCACACGGCCACCGAGTAGGAACGGTCGGTAGCAAGACAAGGCTGAAAGAGGAAGGTCATCTTGTGCACCCAACAAACAGAATAAGGATCAAAATCGAAGGCAGGCTATAAGAGTATCAAGAAATTCTTAGAAACCAAAAGTGATTTGGAAGCACAAAACTTACAGTTAATGCTACCCAGTGCTTGATGGGCCAAGAACATTGCGGCTTCCTAAGTTAGAAAACGCCATGTGCCAAAACTTTACATGGAACCTATTACTCTTTCCGATCAACCTCCCCCTCCCCAGGAAAAAGAAGAACTTGCCTTTTTCAGGGTGGGGAGGAGAGGGGAACATGGGACATGGTTGGAAACTGTAGCTATATTAGTAGTATTTTTGTTATGATAAACTCTGTGTTTAAACCTGGTAAAAGCCCATTAGCTGCCAAGAGGGAATAGGAATAAATTTCCAAAAATGTACAATTTCCTTTAGAGAAGTTTCAGAACCAAAGGACTAATTTACATGAAAAGCTGTAGAGAAAGTAGTTGAAAAGTCCATTCATAAAACTTTTATTCCACTTACATGAACTTAATACACGTGTTCTTAACAATTATGCTTGGATTGTTCATGAAAATTTCATAAGACATTAAACAAAGCTAGCCATCATCTCAAGTTATTTCCCTGTTAACTATTTTTACAGCACATGCATGTTAGGCAAGTATCAAAAAAAAAAAAAAATCACAAAAGCAAAAAACCTAAAAAAAGTTAAATACATGGGTTTTTTGTTTTACTGCTGTGCTTGATACACATGAAGTAATGGATATCAAGCAGTTCATTTTTACTGCATCTTTACTTTTACATTTGTTCTTAGGTTGCCTAAAACATTTAAATACAAATAAAATGAGTGTAGCAAAAATAATGAAAGCAAACAGCAGGTAACTTTACAAATAATGGAATGTGAACCGTTTCTGCCTTTATCCAGAGTAAATTGGGCCACAACTTTTGTCTAATGGACCACTCCTGCAGCTGTAGTCAAAGATGTGCACACGGAGACTGAGTATGCCACAGACACACGTGGTTCAGTATGTGATATCCACTAGACATCCGTTTCCACCACAGCCTTGTAAGTGCTCCAAACCTTCAAGTACCCACAATTACTACACCTGTGACTGGAACCAATTATCCCTTTTATTCTCCACCAGGAAAAACCAATATAGGCAGTTTTCTTTGCTAAGACATGGAAGCAGTTTTAACACTGGCCCTTGTGAAGCCACAATGTACCAAAAGTACTATGCCAAACATTTATAACCTGTATAAAAATTCCACATCCCCATATTGGCCACCTCAAGATGAAAACAGATAACTCGCTAAATATTAACTGGCTCTACTCCCCTAATATTAAACATAAAAACCACATGGGAAATATAGAAATTCAAATAGAAGTAACATAAACCTGTCATAAATCGTAAACAAAAACTATTTGTGGGACAGCATGGATGACAAATGGTCTACTGTGTAAATTTTAGAATGAGGCAGACAAAAGTTGGAAGGCCGGTTAATTCTCCCCTCCTTCTCCCGCTTCAGCTTCATCTCCTTGGGTATCCGATGTCCACAACTGGTAAAAGAAGAAAAGAGTTTTCAGCATGTTTCAGTTTGGGGAAAAAAGAAATTTCATATATATGCCAAAGTCCAGATGTTTTAGTTGGCTGGAAAGCATTTGTAAAAAGATAATCGCACCAAAAATAGCTTCAAGATACACAAACACCTCAATACGATAATTTTCTCCTTAATCATTTTGTAAGCATGGTAAGTACACAGCAGAGTTGTCTTCAACTAACAGTCAGATGCAGGAAATTTTTGGTCATTCACAGATGAGAAATAGAGAAAACCATGAAGTATTCAGAAACATTAGGTTTCAGAATATCAGACTATCCCGAAGAGTTCAATATGAGAGATGGTACTAGCTGAGTCCAACTAAACCAGAATCATCTAATTTGGCTCACGCTCAAGGAGCTAGGGTTGACTGCTCTCCCCTGGTAGACTCCCCCACTGCAAAGAGAATCCACGAAACGCAAGAACCAGCGCCAAGTCTGAGCTAAACTACAAATCTAACTTACCGAGCATTTTTAGTTTAGAAAAATATACCATTGTATATTTGCATGATTAAAAAATAAATGGTCAGAGCAAATTCTTGTAAAGGGGAAAAACTTTCATCTCATAGTAGGATTATGAATTCCATTACGAATTTTTATTCATTTACGCTACAATTTTTTAACAGGTTAAAAATTATTTCAACTGCTTCAATGTTGAATTTTTAAGTCTTAACCATTCTATGGTGATTTTCAGAATTATAAAAGGATTGATTCAAAATGATTTTACACCTACACACTGAAAAATGAGTGGGGAAAATTCCAACATATATTTCCCTATTCTTCAAATCGTCCATTAGTTTCATTTCTTAAGCAAATATATCTCTGGCCTGGGAAAAAAGACTACTTCCAAGGACTTACAGCTACCAAATGACCCACTGGAAACTGTGGGCTCCCATTAAACAAGGTGTTTGTAAGACAAAATGAAATTGTCTTTAATGTTTCTCTCATCCAAGGAGTAGCCAGGTCCAACCCTGCTAGCTTCCAAGATCAGATGAAACAGGAAGCGTTCAGGATGGTATGGTTGTGGACCCTCTTTAATGTTTCTTTTTAACTTCCAAGGACTCTTCAATCTCCTGTATAAACAAACCAAAGTTTGATACAAGATATTATCTTTTTAGAGTAATGTGTTGATAATCTTGGTCAACCAGATTCAGGCTCAAATACCAGGTTAAATTTTGGGAAAATTTATTTTCTTGACAGACAGTGTAAGGCAATCAACCTATAATGATAACAAGCTGACACTAATAAGGTTCAGAGAAGACTACAATGACAGAATCAGAACTGGAACCTTGGTTTTCTTCTCAGTTACTGTAGTAGGCTCTTCTTGCTATACTGATACCAAAATTCAGCTGGAAGTAAATATTCCCATCAGGCCCTTTCAAAAAGTGATGAGAACACAACATAGTAATAACTAGGTCTCAGGTTCTACACCTTGTAAAATATGTCATCTCATCACTTCAAACCAGCAAAGTTCTTAATACTAAAATTAGTTAAGATTTAAAATGCTTCTTCTTTTTGAATCTTTAATTCTATACTCCAAGTCGGGCTCGGTGGCTCAGCCTGTAATCCCACGCCTTTGGGAGGCTGAGGTGAGTAGATTGCCTGAGCCCGCGGGTTCCAGACCCGCCTGCGCAGGCGAGACCTCATCTCTACAATAAATCAAAAAATCAGCCGGGCGTGGTAGCGCACGCCTGTAGTTCCAGCTACTTGGAAGGCTGAGGTGGAAGGATCGCTGGAGCCCAGCAGGTCGAGGTTGTGGTGGTCGGGAGCAGCCAGCCACTGCACTCCAGTCTGGGTGACAGTGAGACTCCAACTCAAAAAAAAAAAAAAAAAAAAAAAAAAATCTATACTCCAGTTTGTTCTCTTGACTAAAATAAAAATCTCAAAGTTTGTAGATAGTAACAAATTGTACTAAAATAATTTTAGGCATTTAATAATAAACAAGTATACAATACTGTTCAAAAACCTCTTTGCTGAGATCATTCAGCATTAGAACATAGAACTGGTCTACAGAAAATTGGTAGTGGACTAAAGTTGGAAGCGAAACGTATAAAATGAGTATACACAATCCCCAGAGAAATGGCCAAAAAAAGCTAGCAAAACCCAATAAAACACTAGACTACAGTCTGCAATTCCTGCCTCTTTACCTGACTCACAATAAGCACTTGATAATTTTTTCACCTAAGCCTCAAAAATTCACATGTAGTATTTATTTGAAGAAGAATGAAAAAACTCAAGGAGCCAATGAGACACGGGGGGGGGGGGGGGGGGGGGGGTGGCCACACATGGGACCAAAAATTTATTTATAAAAAATCGCACATTTTCTTACATGCTTATTAAACTTCATTCACTTTCAAGGTACTCTTCAACTGATACAACACACCTACTATCAAGACACTTTTTCCACTGCTCAAAACGGTTTTTGAGCTTGTAAATTTTGATGGCTTTTAGTGCTTTTGCCATTTTTTTGTTTCATCTCTTCCACATTGGCAAAATGTTTCCCTTTGAGGACTTTTTTCATCCAGGGAAACACAAACAAGTTCCTTGGAGTGAGATCAGGTGAATAGGGAGGGTGGGGCACGGGGGTCATGCCATTTTTTGGTCAAAAACTGCAGAACGCTCAGCAGTGTGAACACGCATGCTTATAAACGACCCATCATGAAATGAGCAAATGTACTGAAAGAATCTCCAAAAAAGTTTACTGAAGCCTCTCACAACTCTAGCCAGCACGCTGACACTGATGGGTCCCTAGGAAATCTTCCGCTGGGGAAGCATGTACTACAAAAATTACCTGACCCCCCCCAAAATAATTCTGGATTTTTTTGGGTCCCCCCTCATATAAAATCAATTGCCATGTGTGGACTTGATCTGGATCCCAATTCAAATAACAAACTTTCTTTAAAAGATAATTTTAAAAAGACAAAAGAGATGGCTGGAATTTGGACATTATTTAGACATATAGTATTAATGAGGAATTACTGTTGATTTTTTGGTGTGATGACATTGCATTTCTTTTAATAAATCTGGAGCCTACCAAGAAGAACAATCATGACCTTTCATAATAAGTCATTTTTTAAGTAAAGAGATTAGGCAAAATAAACATCCAGGTCGGGTACAGTGGCTCACATTTGTAACCCCAGCACTTCGGAGGTAGAGGCAAGAGACTGCTTGAAACCAGGAATTGGAGAACAGCCTAGGATACATAGCAAGACTCTGTTCTCTACTAAGAAAAAAAAAAAATTAGCTGGGTGTGGTGGCTTAAGTCTGTCATCCCAGCTACTCAGGACGTAGAAGCGGGGAAGGATCACTTGAGCCTAGAAGTTTGAGGTTGCAGAGATCATGCTGCACTCTAGCCTGGGTGACAGAGTGAGATCCTGACTCAAAAAAGACTTCCATTTGAATTCCATAGATCATAGAGCCTCAGTTTACTTTTTATACTAAAAATGAAACCCTGTGACTAAAATGAAAACACTCATGAAATGGAAGATAAATGGTATATGTGAATAAAGTTCAAAAATCATGGATTACAAAATTATTTTGAAAATTCAAATTTCAATAGACACGTTACTAATAAAAGTGTACATTTTTAGTTCTTGATTGAATATTTTAGCTTCTGTAAGGCAGTTTTCTTCATATGGTTTTAACAGTAGAAAAAAATATTATATTTAATTAAGAAATGACTAGAAATATTCCTTGTGGTAAAGCATAATTTCTTCAACCATATTAGACATATATGATGCTTTCTGTACTTACTGTCAAGTTGTCCCTCAGTAATTGCATTATTAGTGTGCTGTCTTTGTATGACTCTTCACTTAATGTATCAAGTTCAGCAATGGCTTCATCGAAAGCCTATGATTTAAAAATAGCACATCTCAGTACTCAAATCATAAAGATCGCTAAATTTCCAAGTAACAGGAAAAATACATACTGTCTTTGCAAGAGAGCAGGCTTTCTCTGGGGAGTTCAGAATCTCGTAATAGAACACAGAGAAGTTAAGGGCCAGACCCAATCTGATAGGATGTGTTGGTTGCATTTCCTTTTTGCTGATTTCAAAAGCTTCTTGGTATGCTTGTTGTGACTGATCCACAATCCCTGAATAAGACACACCAAAATGTATCAATGAAGTATACATTTTACCTTTGCCCCTCAAACCAGACCTTTAATTTAATAATATCTCATATGCCTTCTAAAATATTAAGCTCTAACAACCTCAACTGAATAAGGCTGCCAATTTTTTTAAAAAATGATGCTTCTCCCAGAACATCGCAGTAGCCACTGGCTAATGCCAAGATAAAAACAACCTTATGTCATCACTGTTATATTTTTAAAAATTAGTTTGTACTGAGTGCTCCTCGTTACACTGTGACCACTAATTCTTAAAACTGTGAGAAAGTTGGGCACGGTGGCTTACACCTACATTTTGGGAGGCAGAGGTGAGAGGATTGCCTGAGTTCAGCAGGTCGAGGCTGCCTGGGCAATTGCCCAGACCTCGTCTCTACAATAAATAAAAAAATTAGCCTGGTGTGGTGGTATATGCCTGTGGTTCCAGCTATTTGGAAGGCTGAGGTGGAAGGATCATCTGAGCCCAGTAGGCCGAGGCTGCGGAAGCCATGAGCGTGCCAGTGTGCTCTGGCCTGGGCAACCGAGTGAGACTCCTACTCAAAAAAACATTCCTGTATACAAAATTGGATTTTCAAAAAGCATAAAATTTAGAATACTAGTACTAGGCAGTGGCACATATATTCTCAGAACTTAAAAAAACAAAACAAAAAAACACCACAGCATTGCCACTCCTCATTCAGTGCTCTACGCAATTAGAACCAAGTATTCATACTTGAGAGACTCCTCCACACCATGTGATTTTCCACATGCGCAACCAGCTGGTTTAAAATAGCTTACCTTTCTTGTCATCACCAGCAGCAACCTCGGCTAAGTAACGGTAGTAGTCTCCTTTCATTTTCAAGTAGAAGACTTTGCTCTCTGCTTGAGAAGCATTAGGGATCAAGAACTTTTCCAAAAGAGACTTAGGAAGAAAAGAAACATATGATAAGAATAAGACATTTTCAAAATGGAAAGACTCTGCACTTTTCTAAAGAGCATATACCACAGTGCAAGCTATACACTTGTACTACACAACTGTAAATACAGCAGGTCCATGAATTTGTGGTTTAAAGCAGAACACTTTGGGTAGCAATACTTAATATCTGAAGCTAGTGTTCAGTTTATTATTTAAGGATGATACAACTGCATACTGGCTCCTGACTGTCATATAGTTACACGCTAACTTCAATGAAAGTAAAGCACGGCAGTTCATATTTGGGAACACTTTCTAATGTGCGGGCAAACTTTTCATTTAAATGTAGTCATGATATATGAAAAAAGAAAGAACGCGAGAAGAACCTTTTGGACTCTAGAGGAATGACTAACACTGAGACTAATAACATAAGACAACACTGCAGTCTATACCAGAGGAGGAACAAAACTTCACTTATAAGAGCACAATTCAAGTGAATCTCACAAAAGATAAAATGTTCAAAAGTTTTATTTTTCCTAAGACAGTGGGAGGATTATAAAACTTTTATAAGATCTAAATAATCTCATTAAAGTGATTTTTTGGTCCGATAAAATTTTGTTCAGAACTATTAATTACAACCTGTGCTATTTTTAGTCAGGATAAAAAAAAAACCTATAACAATTTAAGCTAATCTGAACCCTAATACGCTAATAATTATACTCTGCTGTTTACACTCTATTGTTTAAAGTAATAAAAAAAATTAGATCATTGTATGGGGGGAGGAAGGCTAAATAAACTAGTGACTTTCTATTTTCAGTAGAGGAAAAAGATAATCCCAGTAGTAGTTAGGCAAATCTTTTTCTTAAAAACGAAATGAAACAAAAACAAAAACCTACTCTCACCACCTCTACATCCTCCTGAGTTAAAGTATACTCTGGGAATCAAAGTGAAATCAATTTTTAACTGGGCTAACATCCCAAATAAATCAATTCTTACAAGGAAAAAGGTATCTAATTCTTGGATTCTATTCTACAAGGTGGCAGTTTAATCTACATTTTACCTGCTTATATGCAAAATATAATAGTAACTCTTAGTGTTTACTCAAGTTGGCAGTAGATCCCAAGCTATACCGTGTTCTAAGGAGTGGCTGAAGGTGAGAAAAGTCAACCTGAAATGTTTCCTGTGATTGTTATATGAGTTGGAGTCTCACTCTGTCACCCAGGATGGAGTGCAGTGGAACAGTCACGGCTCACCACAGCTTCAACTTCCTGGGCTCAGGAGATCCTTCTGCCTCAGGCAGGGACTACAGGCATACACCACCACACCTAGATAATTTTTTGTAGAGATGAGGTCTCCCTATGATGTCTAGATTGGTCTCAAACTCTTGGGTTCAAGAGATCCTCTAGCCTCAGTCTCCCAAAGTGTTGGGATTACAGGCGTGAGCCACCATGCCCAGTCCTTCTGGGATTAACTGATATTTGAAACTACTGGCCTGAAACCAGAAGAGGGTTTGGGTTAAAATAGCAAACTTTATTACACCACACCAACACCTTCATATTCAAAGTTCTCTTAGCTGCAAGAGGGTTCTGTCCTCTGAACACCATGCTCTTTACCACCTATGGCTTGAGGGATCTGTCTCAACAGCAGAAGATAGTTGCATTTAAAATAGTGGAGCCAGGTGCAGTGGCTTACACCTGTAATTTCAGCACTTTGGGAAGTGGAGCTTAGAGAAGTGCCTGGGCAACTTGGTGAGACCTCATCTCTACAATAAATCAAAAAATTAGCCGAGATGGTGCTACTTGGAAGGCTGAGGCAGACGAAACGCCTGAGTCCAGCAGGTAGAGGTTGCAGTGGTCACTGCACTGCAGCCTGGGTGAGAATATGACTCTGACTCAAATAAAAAAAAAATTTAAAAAAAGGTAAATAAATATTACGAGTGGTCCTCCTCCCCCCACACGCACTTAAAAACAATGGTCTTAAGAAACAGAGACTAGCCGGGCTCGGTGGCTCAGCCTGTAATCCCGCGCCTTTGGGAGGCTGAGGTGAGTGGATTGCCTGAGCCCGCGGGTTCAAGACCCGCCTGGGCAACTTGGCGAGACCTCATCTCTA